TATTCCCACAACTGTCAATGGGAGTTCCACTCATGGAATGAATAGAATTAAATAACCCAATCCTCCCCCTCTCCTTCCCACGCATATCTCTTCCTTGTATTGCATCTACTTAATAGACTAATGACATATGAGCAAAATAAGTGTATGTAACCCTGAAATTCTGGCTTTGTGTTGAAAAAAAGTACTTTCTGGGGCATATTGTATTAGAGCTTTTTTGTTTTGTTTATTAGCATTTTTATGTGTTGATAGCTTTAGGGAAGAAAGAATTTAAGTGCATGCCTTGGTATCTTAACATTTATTTAATTCAACTAGGATACTGGAGTTCATGCCTTTTAGTTGAATGGATCTCGGTAGAGTTTTACTTTACTTTAAGGTTGATGTTGTGGAACAACTGTGTAGCTTTAAAATACAAACAATGCCCGCCATCTCCGATCTTTGGCTGATTGAAGGATGAAGGTACGAATCTTGCAAGTCAGTTGACTCCAAAAATTTGCTAAGGCAAAGGTTCCAACCTTGTGTTTGACAAATATGGTCACTTGTTATTTGGTAATTAATTTATCCCGTGGCATCTTTTAACTTTTGTAAAAGTTTACATATTGTAAAATGTTGCAAAATTATATTACGATTTATAAATTACATGGTGCAATTTAAAATTACAAATTATCTTGCAAAATCTTGCAAAAATCCCTGTAATATTTGGTAGGAGTTCCAGAGTTTTAACTATGTTTGTTTTGACCTTATCTTCTGATACTATTTCACATTTCCCTCCTTTTTTTTCTTTTTTTTTCTTTTTTTTCTAATTTAAAGGCATCTTGATTAATCACCTAATTTACCTGATTGCCTGTGATTCATAAAGCGGCAAGTTAGAGCAAGAAGTCTACATAACAGTAGAATTACAGAATGCAGAATTTATAAATATATTTGCCATTTATCCAGGCAACAATAACTTTCATTAGGCAAAACCCACACAGCAATAAATTCCTATTGATTCACTGAGTTTACTGAAGCTTTTGAAAGTTTTCAGTTCTAAGTAGGTATAAATTAAAATAGCAGTAACATAAACACTGAGGAATAAAAATGTTCTGAATATACACTTCAGACCGTTATGTTTTTCCCAGTAATTCTAAACAATATTGTATTGTATAATTTACTTAAAGAAATTATGATGTTATAAAGCTCAGTGATTGCATCAGAATGTTGTTATAATACATCTGCTTGAAGAGTCAACCCTTCTTGTGGTTAAGTTCTGAGCACCAGCAGTAGTAACGGCAAGGACAGGCATATAAGGGCTCTGTGATTTACTTGCATTCACTGCAGTCGTGTACATCAATAGACAAGGGGCCAGGAAACCAGCTGCAAAATGGCTTGACATAAAAAGAACAAGTTCCATATAAAAAGATATAGCGGTGGCCAATCGAAAACTAGTTCTCACTGGGTGAAATTGAAAATTTCAGCTATTATTGTAATGTAAGTGCTGAAGTGCTGTTAGTACTTCTGGTTAATGGGTACAAGTTCTACTACTTCTGGTGAAGATTATTTTTTGCTACATTTAGTATAATTTCTACATATATATCTATATATGCATTTTGTAAACAGTAAGCAGAATTACTGATAAAAACAGTTTGTTTTTATGTCTCAACATATAAATTTGCTTTATTTTGGTTAATTTAAAGAAGTGTTTTCACGGTCAGCAAGTAAAAGGTGAACAATTAGATGTATTTCACAGAATCCACACTATTGTGTATCTATACATATATATGAACACCCATGGAATTATAATGGAAAAACTATATTTAAAATTGACATATAAATAAAAGTTAACAAAAGTTGCAAGCTATGAAACGAGTTGAATATTGGATTCTAAGAATTTGTGATAAGCATAGTTTGCATGGTGCAATACATAGCCCAATTTTTTTCCATTCCTAAATAAAATTGCCATCAAATTTTATATCCATCTAAGTATCCATTTATTCAGATGTGTAGACCCATAGATGAGCCCTTTCCCTGTAATTACAGAAGAATGGCAGTCATTAGTGATTTTATTCAAAGACCATTTCTAGCAATGCACATCCCATGAGTAATTTTCCCCAATATAAATCTTATTCTTCAAAAGGTCAGGAAAGTGTAGAAAATAGATAGTTATGAGATGAATGACTAGCCCTTATTTCCTCTCCTAACATGTTGTTTCATTTAGGCTTCTGAAAGAAACTAATTCTTTTTTGAGAAGTTACTAACATTATGTGTTGAGGGATTTTTAAGAGTTTGTACTTATAAAGATTGTGCTTACAACACAATTCTATGTAGCAGTTACTTTCCTAGTTGTTTAAGTATGAACCAGAGACACTGAAACTCTCTCCTGTAGCGTGTTGTTCAGTCACCTCTCATCAGAGAGCAGTGGTCTCATGAAAATTACTGGTTAAAGAAACACTTTTTTCAAATACTGTTTTCTCTGTCATCTTCATAAAGTAACTCCTATTACTGTCATTTGCAGACTGAAGAGTCCTATTTTACAGCTGAATGGTTAAAAAAAAAAAAAAAAAATTAGAGAAACTACAGTGTGTATTGCTAGCCTTAATTTATACTCCAGCGCCTCATATCTTCAGGGCTTAGGACTTGGTCCCAATCTGAGATCTGCAGCAGACTATAGCAAACTGATGTGGAACTCTGCTTCATGCTGCACAGGTGATGTGGAATGTCCCTGCTGCATGCTCTGAGGTAACCTAAAAACCATGGTCCTTTTATCACTGGAATAATTTAATCTCATTTGAGTAGCGGTTGGAATAGTTACAAAAATATGTTTTGGGTATTATAAGGTTTATTCCTGATTATGCTGCTAATACATCGAATGTCAAACATTACTCAGAAATATAAATGTACTGATCTCACCAAGGGTATTTAATAACATGTTGGACTAGTAGGGATTTAAGTGGACTATAACATAGCTTTTAATTTAGATAATAAAATTAATTTATAGCTTTTGACCTATGGCCAGTCTCAGCCTTGGTTCAGTTTTGTAAGATAATTTACTCAAATACTTTCCTTTGCACAAGTCCCGTTTCTCCAAAATAAATGACTGACTTCTAGCCTGTGTCCCACTGTCAGAAAATCTCGTAATTCTTGTCCATCGTGCTCCTCTTGCACTCTATGTTAATCTTCCTAGTCTTATCGTTCTATGTCCCTAAAAAAGAGGAACATTTCTGCTGTTCTTTCAGCAAACAGTGGGGGTGTTGGGGGTACTTTATAGATTTTTTTTTTTAACCCCAGTTGAAAAGTCTCACAAAATATGCTGCCAGCCAGATGAGATGCTGAAACTGAGAACAGAGCAGATGAACACAGATATGCTGCACTCACCAATAATTTAACTTACACTTCTGGCATCATACTTCCTACTAGACATCTTCCTATAATCCCTCAAATAGTATTAGATTTACATGGAGATTCTTCTGAACTATACTGTATTCAGGCTTTTCTTCATCGCCCACGTTGCTGCTCAATTCCTCTATATGCTAGAGAAGACCTTGATTAGGCAAGGTTTTGAAAATGTTGGAGAAGAGAAACAGAGAAAGTGAAAAGTGTAAAAGAGCTGCCGAATAAATATGAGAGAGCGCAAATAGGGGAAAGAGTCAACAGCCTTATGCTGAGAGTAGAAAGAAAAAACAGGAGCAGAGGTAGCAACATAAAAATGTAAAAAGAAGTGATAAATTTCCTCTCAAAAATACCTGTCTACAACTTCTGTTAGCCCAATTCCTACCAAATATATTTCGCTCAGGAGAAGGGAGGAACAATGTATTGTTCACTGAGGAAAAGACACCCAAGTTTTAACTTGAGGAGTGGATTGTCTAACAAGAAAATCACACTCAAAAATACTTTGTCCATCATTGCTTTGTGTCCAATTCACACAAACTTGAGCAGTTTCAGAAATACGGTACTAGAGAAATAGATCTATGTAATCGAATGATGCCTGCAATTCAATTGCTATCACTTTTATGAAAAAAAATTTGGAAAGGATGGCATGCTTTACATATGTCTGGTCATCCTAACTCTGGGGTTTCTTGCACAGCTGCGTGAAGGAAAACTTGTTATCTGACTACGGGATTTGGTTATGGAAAACCCCAGCAGACTGAGTGATCTGGGCAAATAACAGCAAGCAATTGTTGTATTCCTACATCTATAAAGAATTGTGGAATTGCAGTTGAGTCTGTTTTAATAGAATATTTAGCCACATGTTTCTTCTAAATAAACTGATGTCCTCTAATTCAGTTTTGTTGAAGTAGTTTCTTTTTGAGATTTCCTCTATTTTACAAAAGGTATACATACCTTTTCTAACTTTTTGAACAACTAAGAACTGTGAAAGTTGACTTGTAACCCAGTCTTGTATAATATCTTCAGTGCTATGATTTTGTTGGCCCTCTTTCAGTAGGAACACGGATCTGCACACAGAAAGAATTAATCATCTTTAATACTTTTATTGCACTGGAATAATATGATGAGCATGTGTACAGGGTGTTCATTGCAGTGCATTCACCGTAGCATCACTACGTAATAACTTTTACTTTGCTTGTAAGAATCAAAACATTTTTTGTACCATTTTGGAGAACAGATCAGATGGACCGCTGGTGTTCTCAGTTATAGCAGCAACCCCTCTTTCTACAGGCGTTCACGTCAGCCACTGTTTTAGATGTATCTCCAGGATTTTATAGCTCGTTCATTACACTTCAATCCACCATAGCTGTGACATCTTTGTAGAAAAATCTTCTCTTGCCTTTACCTGAATATCTTGCATTTGAGAATCTTTTACCTTCTGGAACGTGAGCAGGGGGAAAGAGGGGAGATATCTCCTGTGCCCAACTTCCCAGAGAAGACATTTAGTGATGTGCTGAGTCAATTCTACAGACAACCTCTGCTCCTGTTCATTTGAGCTTGGTAGCTGTTCACCTGTCCATACTCCTTTTGTTTCAGTCTGCCATCTTCTCGGTTACCTCGTATTAATTTTTTTGTAGGAAGCTTTTGGACACTGAGGATGAGCTCTCTGACATCCAGTCGGATTCGGTGCCGCTGGAAGTGCGGGACTGGTTAGCTTCCACATTCACAAGGGAAATGGGAATAGTGAAGAGGAGACCTGAAGAAAAGCCCAAATTCCGAAGCATTGTGCATGCTGTACAGGCTGGGATTTTTGTAGAAAGGTGAGAGATTGGTTTTCTTATTACAGTAAATCATGCATTTAACCACAGTGTCTGTCACTGAAGATCCCTTAAATGGTATGATGAACCTGAAGCAAATATTTGAACCAGAAGTTAGGTTTCAATTTCTATAATTACTCTATTTTTCTGTACAGAGATCCAGATGAAACCTCTAAATTTGTAATGAAATCTCCTGGACTTGAAAAATTCTGGGAATGAACTTTATGACTTTGAAACTTCTACACTAAATTGTACCAAAGACTGCACTAACATAAAAGAGTAATATACCAGCAGAGGGGCTTTTCTCATCAGTTCATAAAAAGACACATGTCATCTTTGGGATCAGACCCTGAAATAGCTTAGTGTTATTTCACAAACTGTGAAAGACGAATTTTAAAAAGATAAATTGTTCCAGTACTTTTTAAAGGAGTGCTATTCCTTAATATTGTATTTCTTCTTTTAGGATGTACCGAAGAACTTCTAGCATGGTTGGTTTGGCTTATCCAGCAGAAGTGATAGTAACTTTTAAGGTGAAAAAGTTTAATCATTATGGAATTGGAATGTATTTGCACTTATGTTTAGTGACTTTTAGAGTTAAATAAACATGTTTTTCTACTGAAAGTACCCTAGCCATAGTTAGTACTATAAAACTGAGCACACAGAACAGAGAAATTAATAGTTTAAAATTCACAAATAGCATACGATTCTGCTTATTGTTTCACCTATTAGTTGTGATTTCATTTAGCTGTTATTAGAGAGATAGGGTGAGATTTGTATAGAAATTTTTATAGAAATGGGAGACATGGTTTTATCAGATCCCAGTGCTATGGTAATCAGTGTCTCAGACAGCAGTGTTTGTTTCATTTTTAGGAAAGAAAAAGCAGTAGTAGTACTGGGATAGAGCTCACAAAAGAAGCTGAAGCTTATGGAACAAGTAAAGTATTTGCTGTGAATTTAAGGCATTACTGTAGTTTGCCCAAAAGGCGATCTTTTATAGTAGTAAAGTTCCTATGGCTATGTATGCAATTAAAAAATGGTATTTATTGAGAATGTAGTACCTCACCTTTTCACCTGAAAGTCAAACACTATTATATTATATTATTCTCAAATTGCAGTATGGCTATAGTGTTAATGTCGTTGTGCTATAACCTATTTAAATAATGGGTATTCACATTGGCTCCACAAGGTTCTATAGACAATTTGTACACGGAAAGTTAAATTTTGAAGGATTGAGGACTTTGAATCAAAGCATATGAAGCTGCATATGTCATGTTACAAGTATTCATAACCGACACAACTATTTTAATCATTAATATTGAAACAATCATTAATGTGTTATCTACAGTATCTACTCTCTTTCAAAGTTGGACAATAAAACCTAGCAGACTCTCCCCTCCTCTACAAAAACCACCAATATATCTTTACCACTGATTAACTGGAAACCTACTTAAAGAGATGGAATTTTGATCTTTTTTTTTTTTTTTTTTTTTTTTCCCAATGGTCTTTTGACGTATTTGCCCTAAATGAAGCAAGTGGAGAGCACAGTCTGAAATTTATGATGTATGAGCTGTTTACCCGATATGACCTATTGAGCCGTTTCAAGGTCAGAAGCTAGCCACAAATAAAAATATGTATGCAAAAATACGTATGTCAAATTTAAAAGACAAGAAATCCAGAATACGTTTGAAATGGGTTTTTATTGTGCAATGCAGTGCAGAATTTCGAAGAGTATGGCAAATTGAACATTCATAATATGCCAACAGTTCTACCAAAATGAACTTCACCTGGAATATCCAAATTTTTCTGCAACCCAAAAAAAGTGAAGTTATGTAGATGCATGTCAAGTCAGTTTGGGATGGGATGTTGCTTGTGAGCTGTTAAATGCTGTAAGCATTAAATAAACAGATGATGTATACAGCCTGTTTACTCAGCAGTACTGAACCAGTGTCCTAGGTTCAAGGAACACAGATTCCTAATAAGGCAGAAAACTGTAGCTAGTCCTAAATACTTTTTCATGGTCTAGACTGTAGTATGTTGCCCACCACTGTGTAGGACTTTCAGCTGAATCTTCCTCTCCTAACCAGCTTGAGGGATAAATAAAGAGAAGGCTGCTTTTCCATGATGTTTGCAGGGTATTGCAATACAATATGGAGTACTATAAACAACTTTGAAAGGCTGAGATAAAAAATGGATTTAAATGCCAAATTTTTCATTATAATAGTACCAAATGAAAGTTTCATTACAGTTTCAAAATCTCTCCACTGCAAAACTCCATGCTCCTTATGAAAAGGCTGCCTCACCCTGAAATTGTTTTGAATATTTTAATTTTAACCAATAACCCAGAGTCAGCTTTTCCCATCAGGCTCTGGGGGCTTGAAATCAGAACAGCACCAGGGCTACCATTAACAAGAGTCAGAAAGTATACAGTGTTACTGGGTCAGTGGGTTTAAGCCCATTCCCAGTCCCACTCTTTACCTTGCAGGAATTTTAAATAAAGAAAAATATCTTGAGGAAAATGTAATTTTGTTATATGGGTGTTGTGGTCTAACCCCAGCCAGCAACTAAGCAGCACGCAGATGCTTGCTCATTCCCTCCCTGCAGCAGGATGGGGGAAGAGAGCTGGGAGGGTGAAAGTGAGAACACTTGTGGGTTGAGATAAGAACAGTTTAATAATTGAAATAAAATGTACTACTAATAATAATGATAATGTAATGAAAAGGAAAATAGCAGAGAGAAATAAAACCCAAGAAAGACAAGTGAAGCAAATGAAAACAGTTGCTCACCACCAACAAACTGATGCCCAGCCAGTCCCTGAGCAGCAGTCCCCTGGCTAACCTTTTCCCTATTTTTATTGCTGAACATGGTGCCATAAGGTATGGAATACCCCTTTGGTCAGTCGGGGTCAGCTGTCCTGGCTGTGTCCCCTCCCAACTCCTTGTGCACCCCCAGCCTACTCACTGGCAGGACAGTGTGAGGAGAAGAAGAAAAGGCTTTGACTGTGTGCAAGCACTGCTCAGCAATAACTAAAACATCCCTGTATTAGCAACAGATTTTCCAGCACAAATCCAAACATTACCCCATACTAGCTACTATGAAGAAAGTTGACTCTACCCCAGCCAAAACCAGCACAATGGGAAATTAAATGAGACTAGATTGTGCCTGTACTTCATACATTGCCTGGAGGAAGAGAAGGAGAGGAAGTCATACTATCAGATTCAGGGAAACCTTGTCTCGAGCAAGGTAAAAGTGGTGAAGAAGAGATAATCCTCTTGTTAGACTCTTATCTGTCATGCCTTTATTATATGAACAGTTTATACATTCCTGGTACAGACAGACAAACACGTCTTGAAAACTATTTGGTTGCTAGCTCTGCAGTCTCTTGTATGCTACCAGATGCTGTGTGTAGTGAATGTAAAGGGATATAACGTATACAGCAACTGTGTGAAGACTTCCTGATGCATGTGAGATGCTAGACCTTTACATTTTAGATTTTTCTTTTATTGTTAACTAAATTCTATGGTATATTTATTCGTGGTTTCTTAATTGCATCATTTACTTCACAGCTGTTGCAGGAAAAAACCCATTTATTTTAGTTTTTGCTTCCCCCAGATCCCTGTTCCCAATCTTATTTCATTTGCTGAAGCTCTTGAAGTTGGTTACAGTAAATACAAAAATCCCTATCACAATTTGATCCATGCAGCTGACGTTACTCAGACTGTGCATTACATAATGATTCACACTGGTATCATGGTAAGAAATACTGCGAAGTTCAATTTACTTCTTTTCTCTCTGCTGTTTTGGATAAATGTGCATGTGTGTCTTTTCTTATCGAAAAATCTCCCTTGAAAGTTGTGCACAGATAGATTCTAAACTACCATTCTTGCTGTGATCTAGATGTCATTTCAACAGTTCTTCCAGGCTGGAACTCTCCTGATGTGGAGGAAAAAAGGAGAAAAAAAATCCCCCTTAAATCCTTTTTGCTTTTCATTGCCTGGGCTTAGGTATTATATATCATACTAAATGAGATATGTGTGCAGCAGTAGGCAGGTGAGATTTTTTCGCTTCCACATCAGAGCCTGGGAGGTGTGATCAGGCAAGGAAGCTTTAGTATCTGCTGAGGTCCTCACCATTGAAAGATATACTGAATCAGTGCAGGCTTACTCAAATACTCTGCAGTTCCTTTTTCTTTTAGTTTTTAGGACTGCTCTTGCATACTGTATGTGCCTATAGTAGGCAGAAGATTGCAATATTCCAATATTCTTAAGTATATGCTTTGGGAATTGAAGTGAGTCTGTGCAAGCGGTTTTACTCTAAACACTTAGATTGAATACCAGGCGTGGGAGTCTCCTCACTATCAGCTTGCTAGATAAAAGTAAATACTAACTAAAAGAAAATGGACATCTCTGTCAATGGCCTTTTGATGATTTATCATCACTATGAATTTTTTTTATTTTTTTTATTTTTTTTTTAAAGTGGGAAGTGTTAGTGTCTGATTTCTGTTTGCAGAGCCATGAAACAATTCCATAAGACTTTTGGAAAGGAAAATTTTAGGGCTGACTCTGGATGTTTGTGCTCCAATATGTGCGCAATAAATGGCAGTCATTCACTTCTGTTAAGCATTTTCTCACTGAAAACTTGGCCTTTGGCTTTAGTGGAAGCAAGACCAAGTCCCTAGGCATTTCAGGGTTTGATTCTACTGTTTGAAGGAAGTGTTTTGCTTCTAAGCATCAAGTTCTAGAAGCTACATTTTAACACAAGTACTGCTTGCAGAGTGAAGCCTAGAGTCTTCACCAGCCAAGATTCCTTTTCAGATTGGGGTGTTTCCTTGAGAAAGGACTTCCATATCAGACTGAATGATAGGCTAGACAGCTCTTGCCAAGATGACTCCAAACCAGAGTTGTTGTATATGAAGTTCACCCATCAAAATAATATTTTAATAAAAGAAAAGGCTTGAAAAGATTAGAGCATGGCTCCTATCCTACCCTTGTACTCTACTGTAAGATCAACTGCAATCATTAAGGGATGTGAGACACAACTTTGTTGCAGGTATACACCTGTATCAGCAACTTAACAGGGAGGAAAATCCCTTTTTATACATTATAAACATCCCTTTGAGCTGTTGTAACTGTGCCCCTCCACCCTTTAAAAAAGACAATGTCATCCAGATTTTCTTTGTGATGCCATGACAAGGTTGCAACTTCCAGAGCTATCCTAGTCAATTTGGGATGTTAAAACAATGAACACTGAATGAAGGAAACAGTTTTGTATTTGAATATCTTGCTATTTCACCAAGTGCACATGAGAATGAGCAAGGCCTCTCCAACTCGAGTTTTACAGTATTACCATCTTAACTGTATAACTGCACTTCGATGTGATCTGGACAACTCTTTTCAGAAAAGGTTAGACTTTACTGCTGTTACTTTGCTGTAAAACCTCATTGATGTTGCAACACTGCTGCAAAATATTCCTATAAAATTAGGCCAGGTTTTAAATATTCACATTTGAACTGCTGAATTATGATATTGGAAAGTTCTTGGAAAGATATCTAACTAGGACAACACTTAGTCAAGAGTGCCTTCAAACAGATGTATCTTGCCAGGCAGAAAGAACGTTTATAGAAATCAGTGTTTGAAAGAGGGCCTAGTGATTCTGCAGCTTGAAAAGTATTTCTGTCCTAAATGTCATTTGCAGTTTGGGAACACATCAGTATCATGCGAATGTTCTATTTAACTTGGGTTTTTTCCTGTTGCCTGGTTAACCCTACAGACCCTACTCAACAATTTGAAGTTTGCTTCTCAAGCTAATAATTTTCAGAGTATGTCCGTTGTAATGCCTCTTAACTTTGCTGTGTCTTCTAAAAAATACCTGGATTGGAGTCAGTTTGATGCAGTTCCATATCAGATTCCTGTGTGTTTTTTGCAGACTGGCATGCGATTTGAAACACCTGTGCTTTGACTGTATCTTAACAAACTGATACTGGCTCCCAAATCTTGCAAAGAATTGCTTTCTTCCTTGTTTACTTCTGAAAGATGTACTGAAGCAAATGGTTCAAAAAACTGACTTTTAGAAAATCCTTTTAATGATTCCTGTTGTTGAGGACATATATTGTGTATCTTTTATAGGCACCTGGATAATAGCCATATTTCAGCATCTGCCAAAAAATTTGACTGGTCAGCTTATGCTTCTCCATAAGCCTTTAGAGAGATTCCAGTGAAGAATAACACATATTCAGAGCCGCAGTTAAAAAAATAAAACGATCATTGTATTTTCCAAAAGTTACTGTCTATCTTAAGAAACAAGATCAAGCCACCTCAGTGTGTTAGAAAGTTAGATATCACAGATGGCACACAGTCTATTAACCTTCCCAAGAGATTAAATCCCAGATGATACAACTGAAATATATAACTCAAGCTTGCATTTATGAAGTCTTCATCTTTATAAAGATTTAAGAATTCAAGTCCCAGGGAATACATCTTGTAAAGAACTTTTGAGTCATCGATCATCTTCCCACCATCCCTTTTCTCCTCCCACGTACCTGTATTGCTCAAGCTAAAGGAAAAAATGTCTTTGCTGTCAATAAGTGCATTGTGAGACTCCCTTTCTTACTCATTTTTTAATCCATAATTGTTTAAAAAAAATAGTTTGAACTAGAGCTCATGAAAAGTTGGAATGAATCTATTTACTTATCAGCAATTTACAATGCTGGAAAACATCTCACCATAGAAGAGACCTTTTCCAATAGGTGTTAGATGTGCATGACATAGTATCTTCCAGAAGGGGAGCAGGTTCCAGCTCTTTGCAGTCTTGCAGGCCTCCACATACCTGCTTTTCCCTCTCCCTTTGAGAAAAACACTTGTTAACTGTCTCTCTAAGAGTTGTCTCTCCTACTTCCTTAGAAATTGTTTAGCTAAAGTAGTTCTCTGATTCGAATACTGACCTGAATTCTGACTGTACAGCTGCAGTCTCTGGAATGCAGTCTCCAGAATACTTGCTGCCATACAGTGCCATATGAAGTTTCTGTGTATCACATAGATATTGTTTGCAAGGAATGCTCTTCTACTTATAAAGGCATTGTATAGCAACTATTTTCATTACTAAAAAAGCTGATCTTGGAAAAGATGTCTTAAAGAAATTTGTGTTTAGCTGTAGTTACTAATAATTTCTGGGTTTCTATTCTATTTGGCATGTTGAAAACATTGTGAAAACGAGGACCAGTCATGGCTTGGTTTCTTGTGACACACAATACGATGAAGGTCATTGTTTCCATTTTTAGAACTGCTTACAGCACATTCTCATTCCTCTGTTGTGACCTTTTTTTAATCTATACTGCTTCACTAACAGCCAGTACTTGTTGTTCCTTAGCAGTGTTATTTTGTCGCCAAATGACCTATTTCATCATTCTTGCATTACTTATGAATCTTGACTGTTTCTTGTCTTCTTCTTTGAAAAAAGTCCTACTATTTGCAGTTTCTACTACTTCTGGCAGCTTATACATCTTATATCCATTCATACACATGTATGTGCATATATGGGTGCATATGGATGAGATCATGAGTACAGAAGCTTACTTCTACTCTAAAGAAATCTGAAATTACGTGTGGAAATGCTTGACTGTCATTTGACTTAATCAGTCCTATGACTGCGGGGGTTAATTATCCTGTGATTTTTCTGCCCCCATTTTTAGATGGAGTAAATTTTCTCCTCAAGGATGATTGATCATTCAAGAAATAGAACTTGAAAGATAAAATAACAGAGGCTGTTTTATGAACTGAGGGATACAGAACAGCCTCAGTTAGCAAGAGGTATAAAAGTGCACAAAACTCTAGGATCTGCAATATTTTGTATACATGACCTGTATTACCTTTTTGTTCTGTGTAGCTGTATACCAGCCTTATTTTTTTGGCTTTAGTACTTTTTTTTTTTTGTATTATTACTTTTTTTTACATTAGTACAAACTATGATAACATTTAGAACAGAAAAATCTCCCATGGGCCTAATTTTGGTGCCATGTACACTGGTAAAAAACAGTTAATGCTGATGTTGTACTTAGAATTTATTATGACTGTATATATTGTTCACTGAAAGACAAATTATAATCTTATCAAGTTTTTAGATTAATATACCACAATTCAGCAAATCCCATGTATGAGATTAGATACTTCCTACTCAAACCAGCTACAAATTATACCATATAATTATCATAATAACTTCTTAAATTTTTGGCTGTCAATATTTACTTCTAGTGACCATAAAGGACATTAACTAGGTCTTACAGAAATCATAATAAGTACAAGGAGTTATTTTACTATATAATACTGGAGTGTTATGGATATATATTTACCTGAAGTAAGACAAGAATCAAGTTTACTTAAGTTGAAGGTAATGCAAAACTTTTCCAATACTATAGTGTTTTATCTGAGTTAGGCTATTATAGAAAATATGACTAAGATTTGGTTTTTTGTTTACCAGCACTGGCTCACAGAACTGGAAATTTTAGCAATGATCTTTGCAGCTGCCGTCCATGATTATGAACATACTGGGACCACAAACAATTTCCATATTCAGACAAGGTAAGTGAAGTGGTCTCTTAAGTGTCATGCCTGGAGTTTGCTGTTCATTTCTCTGAACTGTTTCATTCCTCTTGTTGATACAGCCAGGAGGTAGCCACATCATTCCTGATTTTATAGATTGCTTCCTTGACCTCTGTACAGTTAATGGGGCTGCTCACATGAACAAAGTGTGGAAAAGTAAGGAGTTAGCTCCACAGCATTTGAAATCATTATATTTTGGAGTTGCTATGTCAAGAGAGGTTTCAAAATGATTCAGAACTGAAAAGCACTCACCCCTCTATTTGCTTGCTTAAATTCTGATACTTTTGACTCAAAAATGTCTCTCACAGTGTCTCCATAAAAATCCCACTTGGTTTTCAGAAATGTGTCTGCACTTACTTCAGGTGCTACATGTTGTTTCAAGTTGTGTATTACACTTAGGGATTCCTAGTACAGAGGGAGAAACCTCCAAGTACACCTTTAGAAATACCTACCCCGAGCCCTCTCCTAGCACGTTTTGACAGCATCTGGAGTGTTTATGAAGAAGAAATCTAGAAATAAATGCAGCTTGAAAATCAAACTAACTGTATTTTCAATGCAGGCACAGTGTGTCATCCTAGCCTCCAGTCCAGAATAACAGCGTATAACCTCTCTCTCTCTTAAAATATTTTCAGTTTATCAGTGGAAAATCACTGACCAATCCATTACTGGGTGATAAATGGTACACTTGATACTTAATCTAGAACAAAGCATTTTATTGTTCTCTCACACTAGGCTATATTTTGGTTTTAGTATCCTTAGCTAAGGAGTCCTCTTTACCTGCTCTTAAAAATTTATTTCAGCAAAGCACTGACATATTCTAAGAAAACAGCTCTGTGCTAGAAATACTACTATTTTAACAGAAGCATCCTCTCACTCACATACATGAGTAAAGTGCCCAATGTTTACACTTAAATTAAATCTGTCACATACTTGTGCCCTGATATGTGTCCTTCAATAATGAACAAATTCTAGATCTGCAGCTGAAATAAAGACATCATTCTTTTCTCCCTCAGCATAGTCTGGCTAAAATTAAACTTCAGTTGGAAGTTCCAAGTTTATATTACTTTTCTATTTTTGTCATTATTTTGCTCTGAAGTATTACAAAAGTGGAAAATTAATTAAGCTGTTAGCCTTTGGATTTTGCTTGGGCCTACTTGCGAACAGGTATTTGTTTTGTTGATGGAGCTCATTCTCCCGTCCTAGTGGAACTTGGACCTGATGTGACACCCCAGAGCCATGATTCCAGACTTCTTTTGCCAATGTACTTCATAAACATATGTGACTGGGAAATCACAGATTTTCCCATGATTTTAGCAGGATTATGGATGTAAACATAATCATTGTTTAGGTAGGTTATAGTTTGTTCCCTCTAAATAAAGTTTCAAATCCTATTTTCATTTTTAAAATTCCTTGGTACCATACCATGCACATGGCTGGTTACACTGAATATATACTATTGCTCAACAGAACAAGTTAAATTTACCTTATTAATATCATAGTAAGCTGCACTGCTATATCATCACACCTTTCTTCTAGTACAGACTTTTCAATCAAACCTTCTGAAACACTTGGGAATAGTTTTATCAGAACAAAAGTGTAGCAGAGAGGGGAGACCCAAGGTTGCTTAGCAAGTCAGATAGGTCTTGGGGGAAAAAAAATCCCCCAGGAATTAATGACATTTGAAGCTAAATATGATAAATCCATACTGCATCAAAATTTGTGAATATCTATATGTAATTTTGGTATTGTAGGTTAGTCTTTAATTAAAAGGGAATGTATACTGTCTAGTGTAAGGTTCTGACTTTAGGAAGCACTTGGATAAAATCAAAATTTGGCTTAGCATCTCTTCTATTCCATTGTTATGAGGCTCAAGGTTTGGCTGTTTTCCTGACAAAAGATGGCATCCACTTAAAACATGTTAAATTGATGTTTTTTCATATTTTGTTATTTACAGCTCCTTCTGATTATAGGTGACATGGGTATCTCTCTCAAAACAGGAGTAGTAATTCCTTAATACCCATGCTATGTGTGGAGCCCCCTCTGTTGGTGAATGCATTACATTTTAAATGGTTGTATTGCCAGAGTACTCTTAAGTAGTCTAACTAGAGTATTTCTGTTGCTCCATGATCCTATCTACAGTCAAGAAGTTCAACAATCTCCTCACAAATTCTTGTCCCAATTATATCATATGAATACAACATTACCTGTTTGAAAACATGACTTTCCCACAAACCGTATACGCAATAGTATAATGATAATGATTTGATGCATTTAAGATGGAAACTTTATCAGGATTTGATACAATAAGAACAAATAAATAAATTTATATATATATAGTCAATAGTCCTCATAGTGAATGCACTGTCCTACCTTCCCCAGTGCCATCACTGTGATGCTACTGTAAATTCTGGCTTTTTTTTTTTTTTTTAACACTAGGTCAGATGTTGCAATATTGTACAATGACCGTTCTGTTCTTGAAAATCATCACGTAAGTGCTGCCTATAGACTCATGCAAGAAGAAGAGATGAACATCCTGGCAAATTTAACCAAAGATGACTGGAGGTAAGACCTACTGTGCCATTCAAACTTAATTCCAGTATTTAAAAATAATTAAAAACACCAGGCCTTCCCCGTGGAGTCTAAGAGTTCAAATTACAGGAAGAAACTTGGGCACTGGAAGAAGCAATGGATATTTAGAGTTTAGGGAAGGCTTCTGTGGTGTAAGGTACTGTTTGAGGGGCTCCGTATTTTCCAAGTGAGGCTGTGCGTTTATGAGGCACAGTGTCGGACTGCGTGGACGGTGTCTCAGGTGAGATAGCTCTTTAGGAAAACCACAGCGCTGCCCCTCTTGAGCTAGATTACCTTTGTCTAACAGTGGGTTAAATCCTTGGTGCAGAGTCACAGTCTACTGACAGCTTGAGCACTACTGCCTCTGGGATGTCTGCTGTGTAACATAGCACAGCAGAGCCACATCTTGGATAAGCGTTAAAAAATGAATTGTCTGGAGAGTTCAAAAATAATGAAGTAAAGGCCCAGAAGCACTACAGAAATTATTTTTTTTTTCATTTCTTCTTCTTAATTTTAGTGTAATTGCTGAAGAAAATTTGACCAGCTGAAAGAATCAGGATCATAATTGATATGTCATAAATACTAAGATCTGTTAAACCAAAATGAACAAGTGTTAGAAATAAAACTTTCTCCATTATTAAAAATGACACGTTATCTTTGTATATCCTTTGATAGCTGCATATAGCACTTAAAAGATGAGTGATCTGTGTGTACCTGTAAATACAGCTATTATTGAGAGACCCTAAAAATAACTTTTAAATAGGTAGACTGTGAATGAGAGAGAGGTGTTCTGCTTCCAGGAAAGTCTCCCACTGTGAATGATGTCACCATAAATAAAACTATACTCTGCTTTATATTCTCGCAAAACTACACATTTATGAAGGAATATGTGAGTCAGATCAAATTTTAGCGTGGTGTATATTTACAGAGGAAGGACTGGTTTACATTATTTTACTTATCTACCTAAGCAGAACACCCCTAAATAAAGCATTTACTGAATGTAAGTCTGCTGACCTTTTTAGTTTTCAATTAATTATTTTTCAATAGCTACTCCAAAACACTTAAAGTATTTTTAATTTTTTATTTAATACAAAGCGACAGAGGGAACACGCACTTTTTCATTCTCATGAAGGATTTTTTTTCTCAGTGGATACTCATTTGGATATAGTTATAAAAAAAATTTGTGTTGTAATTTTAGTTCTGGAGAAAGATCTCTGGAAATAAATTGTAAACTTCAGCAATAATTGTCATATACACCTAGATTTTCATTGCCATCATGAGAGCCTTGCTCTGCTTGGTACTATTTTGGGCCTAATAGTTTTGGGGCTGATAGGTCTCTGTGACCTTATTTTAGCTTGTCCTAGTTATTGAGTATGGAGAAAGTGATTGTGCCAGTAGACAGCCATCAGAAGCTGTTACTCTCTCTTTTAAAACCACCATTGTAGAGAGCTAATGATTTTCAAATCTTCAGACTTGTTGCCTTAAGTATGTTTTTACGAAGTAGTGTTGAGTCCTACCAGAGAATCCTGCCAGGTAGAAAGGGGCAGATCTTCTGTTGACTTTCAGTTCAGGACTGGACCAAGGATGGCTTGAAGATACTTATTGTGCTTCCCCAGTCCTGGGTCCTTCATCGCTGGAGACCACAATAAATGAGTATAGTTTGGAATCTCTGTAGCAACATGCAGTTGCTCCAGCTGACAGAAATCTGGCTGCCAGCTAGTACAGTGCACCCCAGTCATTCTCTTTTGTTATGTCACTGGGGAAAAGAGTGATAGGATGGAAACTCCTGTGAAAGAAAATATTTCCCAGTGGAAAGAGGAGCCTATGGTTTCCAGGTGTGTGATGTTTATACATATTGCTCCGCTGGACTGCAACAGAATAAAGGGAGGAATGTGACACTTGACATTTCTGAAGAACACTTTTGTCTGCATAGATTGATCAGTCTGATCTTCCCATAGTTCTTTTTCCAGTCCAGTTGTGGGCCCTTTCCTCTAACTTCTGTTGCATTTCATGTCTCTAGTTTTTGAACCTTTGATAAACTTCCATGTTCCTTCGGAAGTTGCTCAGTCACGTACTGGGTGTGTTTGCACTTGCTTTTCAGTCTCCTCTCACTGTGACTCAATTAGGATTTCCTGGAGGATCTTATTTTAGTTCTGCAAATTTTGATTGTATAGAGTGACTGCACAGATCCAGTCCACTATTATATGCAGGCAGTTTGAAGTTGGTGGGATTTGGCAACCAGAGAAAGTAGAATCTGTGGTCTCTTGTTGGAGCTATTCAGTACAACTCAAAAGAGATGTATGAACAGACTAAGAAGCTCAAGCAACTAAACTAGGACACTCAGTTCCATGTTTTGTCACTTAGCTAGGCAATTACAGCCCATACTTTCAAACAAACCAGTAAATTCCAAAGTGACCGTCTGAGAACCTGCACAACCTCTTGAAGTCTGATACTTTAATTTAGAGGGTCAGTCATAGAAATTGTGTTTTCCTGGTATTCGTTTCTAATATCCCAAAATTCCTATTACCCTGCCATCAGATAACTTGTTCAATGGTGCAATGACAGATCTGTTAGCCACTTGCAAGAAGGTCATCAATTTTCTAATTACTACTAGAGCAAACTTCTTGGATCTATACTGAAATAAATGCTGTTAGACTAACAGTTTTGAAGTTCGCACTGAATCAAATTGTCGGTAAATTGAAATTATAATTTTTTTCAACTTTTTAATGTACTTCCTGGCACAGATTAATTTCTCGACTATTGCCAGATCTGTGTTCTTGAGTTGCAGCTACTTAACTGGTGCCTATTTAAACTAGTTCTGCTAATTATTTCAGCAAGATGAAGCAAAATGACTGACTTTATAGTATTACATTTTCTTTTCTACATGTTAACATTAAGAAGTTAAATGCACTAATAAACTGTCAGCTTCAATTAATTTTAAAACACAGAGTTTGGGTCTGATCAAGGCAACACTGCCAGCATTCTGATGAGGATGTCCTTTGTGGATAACGCATGTGACGTTCATAGTAATTTCTCACTCTTTTCTCAACTTTGAAAATACATTGCAGTCTTTCATATTTTCTTGTTTCTCTCACTTAGCACACCTAAAAAACTAAAAAGGGTTCCCTTTCTGCCCCACTTTATCCTTTGATTTACCAGGCTTCTAGTGTTGTAGCACCCCATGTGTTAGGTCAACAACTGTAGGTGATCAGGCAGTATTAATGTCTCAAACCATTCCAGTCATGAGGCATACAAAGATATATTGCCTGATTATATAAAAAAGACTAACAAAACAATATGTGTTATATTCAGCTCTGTGGACCCCAACATAAGAAGGACATGGACCCGCTGGAACAAGTCCAGGGGAGGCCATGAAGGTGATCAGGGGCTGGAGCACCTCCCCTGTGAGGACAGGCTGAGAGAGTTGGGGGTGTTCAGCCCAGAGAAGAGAAGGCTCCAGGGAGACCCTATAGCGGCCTTCCAGTGCTGAAAGGGGCTACAGAAGAGATGGGGAGGGACCTACATCAGGGGATGTAGGGATAGGATGAGGGGTAATGGTTTTAAACTGAAAAAGGATTATTTATTGTGAGGGTGGTGAGACACTGACACAGGTTTCCCAGAGCAGCTGTGGCTGCCCCCTCCCTGGCAGGGTTCAAGGCCAGGTTGGACAGGGCTGTGAGCAACCTGGGCGAGTGGAAGGTGCCCCTGCCCGTGGCAGGGGGGTGGAACTAGATGATCTTTATTGTCCCTTCCAACCCAAACTATTCTATGAATCTATGTTATACAATGAATAATAAATGGGTTTTCTTTCACAAACTCCTTCAGGAGTCTTCTGTCTAAGGAAAGCAGAGTTTCTATAACTTACAAGATGAACCTTATGTCTTCAGTTCCCAACTTGCTTTTGCTCATCTTAGCCTGTTCCTGCATTTTTTCATCAGAGAGGGACCTGGGGGGGTGATTGACAGCGGCTGAACAGGAGCCAGCAGTGTGCCCAGGGGGCCAAGAAGGCCAATGGCATCCTGGCTTGTGTCAGCAATAGCGTGGCCAGCAGGGATAGGGAAGGGATCTCACCCCTGTGCTCAGCACTGGTGAGGCCGCCCCTCGATTCCTGGGTTCAGTTTTGGGCCCCTCACTCCAAAAAAGACATTGAATGACTCGAGCGTGTCCAGAGAAGGGCAACGGAGCTGGTGTAGGGTCTGGAGCACAGGTCTGCTGGGGAGCGGCTGAGGGAACTGGGGGGGTTAGTCTGGAGAAGAGGAGGCTGAGGGGAGACCTCATCGCCCTCTGCAGCTTCCTGAAAGGAGGGTGCAGAGAGGAGGGATGAGTCCCATTAACCAAGTAACAAGTGACAGGACAAGAGGGAATGGCCTCAAGTTGCACCAGGGAAGGTTTGGACTGGGTATCAGGAAGTAGAACGGTGTTTTAGGCGTTGGAATGGGCTGCCCAGGGCACTGTGGAGTCCCCATCCCTGGAGGTGTTTAAGAGTTGGGTTGACATAGCACTGAGGGATCTGGTGTAGTTGAGAACAGTCAGTGTTAGGTCAATGGTTGGACCAGATGATCTGCAAGGTCTTTTCCTACCTAGATGATTCTGTGATAGTTTCTAGCTGACTAAATGTCTTTGTCATGGATAAATCCAGGTAAAAAATGGTTTCTGTTTATTGGTTAACAACTTTTCCAAGAAATTCATGTGCCACTTCTTGTCATTTGTTTATGACAGAATTATGCATGTCATTTTTTCACATCATCTTTCATCTATTTTTTTGCAGTATCCTATCCATAGGGCATATGGATATAGGAGGGTTAAGAAAGGATGACAGCACAGGACATGACAGTTTACTTAAGAAATATGGACATTATATACTCAAAACCAGTAATCTTCCAACTGTGGGCCCCAAAATACCACTATGCACTGTACGTGAATACTGTTACCACTTCCTGTCATGGAAATAAGATGACAACATCTATGTATCTTTTTGCCCTGATATGAGCAATACTAACTGTATTATCCCAATGCCTGTAGCTGTGGGCTGCTTAATGAAGTGGGCAGAGATTTCTGTCCAGGAGTTACCTATGAGACCTACTGAGGTCTCCTTCAATACGGAAGCTGAGATCGTCCTTTTTCCCCAGGAAATGATTTGGGAATGCTTTAAGTCCAAGAGTAATCTTCTGTGCAGTGTTAGTAGACTGAGAATTTGTAGCTCTGGTAGAGCTTTGTTTCAGGTTTCCCCATCAGTTCCAGATTTTCCATCCCTCTACTGATGCTGGATGGTGGTGCAGGCAGGAAACAACTGCAGACTGTAGGTGAAGAGCCTCTCTTTTTTCTGTTAAGCAGTTTTTTGGTGGTCTGAAATCTTTAGCGGTGTGAGGAGGATAGTGATACATTGTTTGATCCTCATTCAGGTAATGACGGTAAGAATTAGGGTTTGTCTGTTGCCACGCCAGTGTGAGGAAACTAAAAGCAGCATTTTGCTTCTCTGTGTGTCTTGTGTAGCGGGGCTGAGCTTATTTCTGATTACTCTTAAAAGTCCAGACACGGAAATTTCCTAGGAAAATCTCCCATAGAAAGAAGAACTCATAATTATTTCAGTCTTACAAACAACAGGGTTTAACAATGCAGAGCCCTCAATTTTCATGCAGTGTTAGCTGTTCTTTTTATTTTTTGGTTTTTAGTTTTTTTAATGGGTTTGGCTGGTTTTGAAGGGTACGGTTTCAAAGCAATGTGGAGGAGGAACAGTTGGGATGCAAACTAATTGGTATCCTATTATGAGGTCAGATAAGGTAAGGCATTTTCTAAACACAAGTTAGTATGGCTGCATGCTATTGCATAGAAGTGAGAGGATTGAGTCTCTATCCGGTTACATCAAAGCAAATCAGGAATAAATGAAGAAAAATCAATAAGAAGTATCAGCTTAAATATGCAATTATTTTGGCTAAATGCAGTCTTGATAGTTTTTATAACAAACTGTTCTAACGACCCTGAAGAAAACTGCAATTTACCTCTTTAAAACATAGTCTTTTGGAAAAAAAAAAAAAAAAAAAAAATATTATAAAGTAAATCAAAGATATAAATGCAGTATGAAAGATTAGTGAGAATGTCTAAAGTAGGATTCTATTGTTGTAATTGATACTTGGATCTATTGTTGTAATTGATACTTGGACATCCTTAAGATTGGAGGTGTCTCTGATATACATATAAGCAACACTTGCACATAAAGTCTCCTAGGGCAGAAAAAAGGATGTAAATAAATACCCAGTAGACTCCTACATGGCCTATATACAATCCTTCTACATGAAGGAAATAGAATTTTCCAAATCAGTAATTATTGTCAACAAAATTAATGTAATATTTTTGTATACAATCAGAATTAATACACTTTCTTACATGATTTATGTTTTACTGTTTTAATATTCATTTCATAAAAAGCTGATGGACAAGCCAAAATCTCTGACCATAATACCGAGATAAATTATAAATCCCAAACTTGTTCTGATTCATGAAACAGGCATTAAGGTATTTTTGAGATGAAGGGTAGTTTGCCATAATATTCATGTATTGGTATAACGTTGATAGCATTTCAGATGTAATACCTCTTGCTCTTCTGAGTGTTTCCACAGCTTTCTTCCTAGGTTTAGTGTCATGCCTGCTCTGCACTAATATGAGGGTGGTAATAAAAGACACAAATACATCCTGTTGTGTGGTGGTAAGCCCAGAGACCAACTGTTTTTTTGAATACTCTACTGCCAAAAAAATAAGGAAAGACTTATGTGTGACAGAACTTCATGTAATTTTACTTTATACATTAGAAAAGAGGAATTACAAAACAGTGTGACCCTGAAATAATGATTGCTTTCACAGAATCCTTTTAAGATACAATGTTCAAGTTGTTAATAATTCATGTAAATGCCTTTTTAAATGTAATAAAACACGTGATATTGTTGAGAAAGTTATAAATTAACAAGTACTGCTTAAACAAATGTAGCATACATAGAATAAATGAATTTTAATCAGTCATTTTGTTTTAATTATTCTTAGGGAGTTGCGTAGCTTGGTCATTGAGATGGTCTTGTCTACAGATATGTCGGGTCATTTTCAACAAATTAAAACAATGAGACATACTCTACAGCAGACAGAGGGGTAGGTTGTTTTCCATTCTGTTCATTATCTATAGTCTTTCAGTGAGCTCATGTACAAGAAAATAATTTAAATAGTTGCTTTTGTTTTGAGATAATTGGAGCATGTCCTTGAATTGACAGGGTAGACAAAGCCAAAGCCATGTCTTTGATTCTACATGCAGCAGACATAAGCCATCCAGCAAAATCCTGGGAACTGCACTACCGGTGGACCATGGCCCTAATGGAAGAATTTTTTCGACAGGTGCCATTTTAAAAATCTTTTAATTAATCTAGTTCAAGAAGCAATGGTTACACAACTAAATCTTCTCATAAGTCTACCAGCAAGGATGCTGTTGGTTGTGATTGACAAGCATAGTCAGTAGTACATATTCCTTACTCTTCATACATTCCACTGACATTAATTCAACTTGTATGTGTGTGAATAAGATGAAATTGTTATAACTCTGTATCTATTTCAGCTGATACCAGGATTCTGAGTCTGTAGCATTTTTTCTTCTTTCAATTATAATATAGCTTGTCAAGCTGTTTTCATTCTGTAGACAGAGATTTATATATGCTTTGAGTTAAAAAGAAGCACTAGCAGGGTAGGATGAAGGACTTGAAAATAGGAAGAATTCATGTTCAGCCAAGAAGGCAAAAAAGTTGTGTCCACTTCCCATTTCAGAAAGCTCACCTATTTCTTTTCCTTGCCAGTACTTACCATGCATATACCACATAGATCTGAAGGTTTTGCTTCCGTAACAGCCAGATCTAAAGCCAGAGGTTAGATGGTATCATCCTGTTAATGCTATGGCCATATATCCTAAAACAAAAATGAGAAACACCTTTGAGAAAGTCTTTTCATTTCTATGAGATACTGAATTCAAAGAGAAAGTCCAGTAGATGTTGCTGTCACTGCTGCCATTTTTTTACTCACCTCAGCAGGTGAAAAATAAAACATTTCTCCACAGGTGGAATACTCTCCCTGTAATTAATATTCGTGACCATGCACATTTTTAGCATAACAGTTACTGAAGTAAAATCAGTAATCAGAATCCAGTTTAAGTATTACATGGTTGCTACAGTTATACACAGGTTTTAAATATGGTTAATACAGATAATGGAACTATGTATATCTAGCTCATCTTGATTGTCATTATTTTGCTATATGGGGACATTTTCAAGTCAGGTGGGTCACACTGGAAAAAGGGGCCATAGAATAAAAAAGTCAGTATGTTAAACCATGAGGTTGTTAGGCCCATCTGTCCTAGAAGGTTTTGCTTGATTCCTAGAGGCTCTTTACACAAATTCTTGGTAAGGAGCATCAGGACATCCTTGACTCTGGGCTTTGCACTGAGGAGGCAATTTGGAGAGATGGTGCCTTGATCTAAATAATGAACGGACCAAGTTTTGTGGAAATACTGACTAGAACCATGAGTTTGTGTCTGTTTCTTGAAATGGAAATTAGAATTTTGAACTTGAAGGGAAAAAAAGAGGAGCAGACTACCCCAGCTATATATTACTTGAAAAAGTCAGAGATGACCAACTGTAAAAACATTTTAGACACAGAGACAGACTAGACAGAGCCCATGGGACAGTGAGGCAATGTGTGCAGTCAAGTGGATGTAGCATTAGCAATAAACAGTACCATACTGGTCGTTGAGTGTTTAGGATCATCTAATGCTTTTGTTATTCCTTTATCCTTTCATTAGAAGAAGTAGCTGGATCCCAAATAAGCTGCTCAAAGGCATTGAGAAGACATTTAACAATAGAAACAAATCGCCATGTATGCATGTCTGTAATGCAGCAGTGTAAGTTGTGAAAGTCTTTCAGACTGTAGAGGAGTGTGCGAGGAACCGAATCCCTCTCTATATGTACTACTAAGAACAGCATGTGTGGAGTAGTTCCAACACATTTAAAGTGTGCTGAAGTAAGTGTACATACATAAATGCACTGAGCAGTGCAGACACAGTAGGTCTCCCACTTCCTAGATGCACTGGCTTGGTTGTGCATCCTCTGGTCTGTTGATCTGAAAGTGTCTGGTGGAAATCTCTGGGATTTCCAAATCTGTGTCAGCCAAGGTAAAGTAGTCCAAATGTATAGAAAATCCACTAACTCTTCCTTGTCTTTTCTTTAAAGATAGCAATTCAACTACTTCTACTGCCTTACAGGAAAAAACAGCAGAGTCTGAAACTGCCAAGGCAAAAACAATGCTTTAACAGGCAGCTTTCAAAGTAGTGAGCACCAGCAAAAAAATGAACATTCACCTAGAGAAAGCTTTGTTAACTGCAGCTAGCGGTTAAAATACGTGCCAGTGTTAACTTCAGGGAAAAAGCCAAGCGCTTTAAGTTTAAAAGCAACAACTACAGAAAGGGTGTTATAATGCCAAGGAAAATCTGAGCTACTCATTTAAAATAGAAATACTCCCACCCATCTCAAAACCTTAAAAATAAAGAAATACATAGTTCAAGTCACTCAAGCATCACAGCTCCTATAGCATTCTGCTTTCTGTCTGAATGATACAAAAGCATAAATAGAGAATTAGTGGAGTGAGTTCAGCAGCTGGGCGAAGAAATTTTTTTACTGGTTTGATCTTTATCTTGATTTTAAATCTCGTTATATTCTAATTATCAATTTAAATATTAGTGTTGTGTCCATTATTAATATTTACAATAGACTTAGACTTATCTGACATTTAAGTTTTAACTATGTATTATTTTAATTGCAAAGTAATTCATAATTGGGGTAAAGAGCTATTTGAAAACATTAAAAAATTCAAACTGATTCTTTGCTAGTGTGGAATTTTATCTTTTTTAATACCTACTTAAGGGAAGATTACAAAATGAATATTGCTGTAGAAATCTTGTATTCAACAATGGTCAAAATTGTTAGAACTACCCCAGTTTATATTATATCGCTGTCTGGCTCCTGCATTTACACAGAGGTGCCACTAACACTGCTCCTAGTAGCAAGTGTTCATGTGTTCTTCTACATTCTGAAGTCAAATTATGAACACTCGGGTGCAAAATTTAAAGGCCATAGTGATAAATCTCTCCAGTTTCACATGAAACACAATCTGCAAGTTACATCTGTTCCTGTGGCTGCAGTGGCTTTATTGGTATTATAGTTCTAAACTTTTCCCAGATCTAGTTCAATGATACATGATAAAAGACTAAGGAAGGTTGATACTGCCCCCTTCATCTATCAGCTTCTGACGAGATCATTGGGAAAATGTTCATGTATTGCTCCCCGCTGAGGGATCATGAAACAGCATTCTCTATGATTAACGTAATATGTAGAGTCATTTTATTTGATAGACCAAGTTTTCCTATATCTATAATATCAGTGCTTCTGGGGGCCAGGTTTGTCCAGCAACACAAATTATAGCCTCCTTTGAAAGATGTCTCTTCAGTTTGTTTTGCACTGCTAGACTTTCTTTTTGAGATTTTGCAAGACAGTTGGTCTACCATGCTGAAAATGGAGATCAAACTCCCTGTCTTTTAAGACTGTTAGGACAAAAAAAACCCTCTTTTAATGTGTTAGGTGTTTAAATGTTTTCAGAACTAGGTTGTACAAACCATCTTTGTAATGAAATTGAGCTTGCGCTTTTTTAATGCTTCAGCAGCAGAGACATATGCCTGCCAGTGAGAATGAGTTCAAGTCAGATCATTCCCTTAATTTGTGTAAATCCATTGAATAAATTTTATAAGTTGGATAAACCAGTGTAATAGAAGGAAACACTTAACATTCGACATACTATTACAAACATGTCTAAATATCTCCGATCCTATTACATCTGGGCTCAGCAGGACTAAACTGTGAATATTGAAGGGCTTCATCTGTGCTAAAACTCATTGGCAGATGCTTTGCTTTTGAGGAGAGCTTGCTTGCAATAAGTTGCTTTATAGAAAAATTATCAAATATAAGTTAAAATTTTTACTTTTAGTTTTCCTGAAAATTAAAAATTAAATAATGAGGGGTTTGGGGTTTTTTTGCCTGTGGCTTGTTTTTATTCAAGAATATAAGTGAACAAAGTAATCTGTTGAATAAATACTAAGAATTTTCAGATTCCTTTGTCTCTCTGTCCCTCTATCAAATATATGCTTATAATATTAAATGTTGCTTGCAGGGAGACAAAGAGGCTGCTTTAGGTCTTCAATTTTCTCCACTCTGTGACCGCAACTCTACTTTGGTAGCTCAATCCCAAATAGGTAATGACAAATTGTGTTTTTCTTTTTCTTGTATGTGCAGGAACATGTAAAGACATTTCTTATATCCATTTTGAATTTTAAATGTTCCAAAAGCCATCATATAGAAGGTATTTCTTTGTACCTATCTGTTCACCAAACTCATATGCTCTTACATCAGAAATGCACTGTTCTCAAGAAACATGAAGTAATTTCAGCATATGTGATGTCACGGAGGGGTAGGAGAAGGGTTAACCAAAGTACTGGACATGAGCCCAACTTTTACTGTACACACTTCAGAGTTTGGTAGAACATGTCCTCAGACAGACTGACTCTTGCTCAAGAACTCACAGGTCTGTCTCAACCGCAATCTAAAAACCTGGTACCATTTTGTAGATGCATCTCAAAATTAATTCATAACATCAGATCTCTGGACTGCAGTTAAGACTGTCAGTGTGGCAAGGTCAGACTACACAGGGTCAAAGTCGGGTTGACAAGGACAACTGCATTCTATTCCTGTAAATCCTAATTGCGTTTTGGTCAACAGTGGCCAAACCTCAGCTTCCCATTTTCAGAAATGCGGGTCTTGGCTTTCTCTATCCGCCTTTCCATTGGCAATAATAAGGAAATAAAAATTGGTAAAGATCACTGGGGCTGGTTACAAGGACACACCGTAGAACCATACTGAGTAAAACCAGTAAGTCCTACTAACAGCTGCACCTTTTATGTGAGTGAACACAGTACTCAAGGGGAGATTCCATAGGTGACAGTGTGTTATCCTTGAATTCAAGCATGTCATTCTGTCTGATCTTGTCACTCAAAATGTCCTTTATTTTGTTTCACTGGGACTTGAAATGCAATGTTCTTGAGTTTCATAACTACTGCGGGAGGGAAGCAGGGTCCTAGGCTGAAGTACTGTTGCTCACGTTTGTGCTGTGTTGCTTGGTTAGAGTATGAAGACATCTGGAAATCCATTGCCAGCTCATGTTTTAGCTTTTTTCTTTTTTCTTTTTTTTTTTTTTTTCTTTTTTCCGTTAAGTGCTCAGCAGAGAATAATGCTTCATTCTCTCACTGTGTCATTCCATACCTTGATGAGCACTTTAAAATGTAAAAGACATTGTTCAGAGCTGACATCTCAGAACTGTGGGATGAATGCTGTCTCCTAAGGATATTACTTGTTCTCTTCACTGATTTGACAGAACACTCCTACACACTGTGAAATAACACTTTACCTCCACAGAATAATAAACAGCAGTTTGAAATATTAACTCCTTGGCAAGAAGCTCCAAATGGTAAACCAGACAGAATGACTTCTAGCCCCTTGGCTCAGTGGTAGCTTCCCTTCTATTCAATACTTAATATTCATTTCAAATAGTCAGTGTGTTCTGCAGTGCATAAAATTTACAAGAAAAAGAAATTAAAAGCTATAATTACTAATACCTAGTTATATCTATACAGCTTCATGTGGTTTTGTTTTTACTTGTGCTCTTTTCTTCAAGATTGTACTAGTGGTATCTAGTATATTTAATCAGGACTATAGTCAAAAAATCACCATAATATTAAGTATTTATTTTTAGATTTGAGAGTTGTGGAAATGTAAAATCTGGTTTTCTCTCTTCTTCTTCTTTAGGTTTCATTGATTTCATAGTAGAACCAACATTTTCTCTTCTCACGGACTCAATGGAGAAAATTGTTATGCCTCTTATAGAGGAAGCATCAAAATCTGAAAGTCCTGCATTTGGGACACCCAGGTATGAATACACCACTTAGTTACTGAATCAACATAAGCTAACATAACCGTGTCATTCTCAGAATTATCGTCAATTATTTCAAGAGATGAAAAAGTAACATAAACCGCTGTATAGTATTGCCACCATGTGGTGCTATGATGTATTTGCAATAGGCTATTACTCCATTGACTATGGGCAATCGTGCACATGAAAAAGCAGAACCACAATAGGAAGAATACACACGTATAAAATACAAAGTTGATTTTCTACAGCATATATAATTTTTTTTTAAACTTTGACTATAATTTCTGCAATAGATTATTGAAGTTCCTCGTTCTCTTGCCTTGAACTATTTTCAGTATAATTTTAATTGACAGTACCAAAAGTAATTACATCCTTTCTGAGAGACAAATGGACGTGGAATTGATGCGATGCAAGTGGTTGCCGCTTTTTTTCCCTGTTTTTAATTATGCTGTAGGTCACTTTCCTTCTTCAAGTTTCCACATTAGTATTATTTCATATATACACTTAAGACAAAACTCATTCCAGTTATATTCCACTTGAGAGATTTAAATAAATGTGTGAGATGCAGGGGGGTTTGCCCATCAAACTCCTGTTTTTTGCGTCACGATAGAAGTTGTCTCTAAAACAAACTAGCTATGACAATGTTATCTGAGTGACTCCACACTGAAAGCATCATTCAATAATCATATACTTCTTTTACAAATATTGACTCTGCCATCACATTTTTTTTCATTTTAAAACTAATTTGAGCTTTCACTGAGTCTACTAATATGACAGTTCTGCAACGCAAGTTTTCATTTGCTGTGTATTACTTAGATTATAATAGTAAAGTGATGAACCTAGTTATTTTCTGATCATGAGTTTACGTGTATTTTGGTTACTAGAAGTAAGTAGAAGTTACCAGAATTAGGTCTTTATGATGGTGTTCTTAGTGTTTTGGGGAACAGTGCTAAGGTATTATTGATTACAAATTTGTTTACCTACATACTTCTTCACAAATGAGTGATTACCAGCTGCAAACGATCTGTAGGTCCAGGCTTCATTTTCAGTTCATGACTAGCAGTAGATGAACAAAGGCTTCCTCCTGTGGGCTGGAGGATAAAGGGATTTTTTTTCTTAGTATAGAATCAAGAGCTGCACTTATGAAGAGAGTGGAGAGCCTATAGCATGATACAAACATGACGGAGCCAGCAGAGTTGCTCAAATGCTACTGGGTGGGCGCCATGAGTACCTGCTGTGATATTCACAGTGGTGTCTGGAAAACAGATCTACGGACTATTCTTTCCAGTCTCTCCCATTCAACATCTCTGGAGCACATGGAAATTACCATTAACTTTTCTTGTGCAGTTCTCACTGATACGTTCATTGCAACTGTATTCTCTGATTAATGGAAAAACATTCGTATGCACGTTAACATCTGTCTTTGATACCAGTGAGATAAACTACACAGCATAATTGAGTAAACAAAACCTGCTATGACTTGATTACCTGTACAAGGCCAGAAACAGGTCTGATTTTTTAATCCTAAGAAAAAAATATAGTTCATTCTTTTTTTCCCCACCTTTGCATGTTATCTGTATATTCAATACGAATAATGAATTTGACATTTACTTTACCTTACACGTAAGGCAGCTGCGGTAGTTCATAAGTGGATTTTAAAGCCACTCTTCTAAATCCTGCTTTGACTACACTTGAAGGCATGTACCTTGAAGAGAATTTTCAACTGCAGCTAAACTGATCTGTCATACACTTTTGTGTCTTGCTTTTTTAAAAGAGGTCAGAAAATAACAATCAGATGTCTCTTCTGTGAGCCCCAAAGACACCAATCACTATTCAAAAACACAGCTAAGAAGCTGCTTCACAATAGCTACATAAACATTATTTTCAAGAACCAACTTACAAGTAATGTCACATTTTTTTCAAGAATTCCCTGGGAAAAGGTCGTTAAGAATTGGTCCCAGGTCACAGCTTCATGAGTTGAAGAAATATTTTGTATCTTAGGCACTCTTTGTTGAAGTCAGTGATTGCATGTAGGCCCTATGGAATTTGATTCAAATTAACTGTTTGTGTGTTATTAAAATTGCCTGACTGTGTTCATAATTCAGGGTTTATTCCCTTCTGCAGCCAAAATAGTTTGGTACCAGTAAGCTATGCTGAAGCACAAAGACGACCCAGTTTTAAAAGTACAAGTGATGGAGGGGCTCACACAGAAAATTCTTTAGCAACTGTAGACCTAACGAGCTTTAAGGACAACTTGATGAAGATCATTCAAGCAAACAAAGAAAGATGGAAAGAATTAGCAGTAGAAGGTATGATATACTAAAGTGGAACGTTTTTATAGGTTACTCCCTAAGATCTCTCCCACTTTCATTTTTTAATTTCCTTCAACCTATAAAAATACATAGTTGTCTTTTATTCATGTATTTTATGTCAATGTTTGTTTAGATGGTCCCATTTTGCTCTCCCAGGAGGTATGAAGAGTTGTAGGTGATCAGGGGATGAGAGGATATCTCATAGTCTCTACAGTAAGACTCTGTGCTGCTCAACTTACCTTTAGAGGTCTGGTTTAGAAATGTGCGTTCTTGCACATTTAATCATAACTGATAATGACATCTGCTTTAAATGCTAAAATCAACAATTCAAAGTAGTATGTGCTGCCACATTTCTTAAGAAATGTAAAAGTTTGACTTTGCTGTTAGAAATGCTATTAGTTCCCCACTGTATGGAACAGAATTCAGTATTGCAGGCTTCTTGAGAGTATGCTGTAGGCAATTATTTAAATGACTCAGTGGATCTGAAGATTTGGGCAATCACAGGATGTATTAGACTGAAACAAGGCAAAACGTCACTCTTCATTTGCCGGGTGGTAGTTAATAAAGCCAAACCTGCATCAAGCATCTTAGTTCATAAACCACACCTGAAAATTGTCTGGAGTTACAGTTATCTGAGCGAAGTGATTTGTGATAATTGTTGAACCCCATTTATAACCTTGATCCAGGTTAAATGAATGACATTTTGGAATATTTTGCCCACAGTCTGTGTTGTTTCCGAGTAAGCACCTGGAATATTTCAGTATATTATTTCACTACTGGGACTGGTTTTATTGTACAGAACCTGATACTGACTGCAGGGAATGGTGTCCTGGAACGCGGTGCCAGCCTTGTCTTACATCCCATCATCCAAAGCGGCATTTTTTTTCTCAGAGAGCTGTAGACAAGACAGACAAGACAACACTGCTGAGCAGTGCTAAATTCTAATTTAGTGCTAAATTGCGAATGAATATTCTCATTAGAAGAATATTCCGTAAGAACAAGGTTCCATAAATCTATTGAGACAATGATTTGAGAGGTAGATAGATGGGGCAGCTGAGGAGGAGCTTTAACTAATATTGTCTCTTTTTGATGGGCAGCTTCATATGATTGATTGCCTCTCTTGTTACTGTCCAGCTAACACTGACTGGTCAAAAGGACAAAGCTGCTAATTTGAGATGATCAGTAGTAATTGCAGAACATCGGTGTGCCCAAGGCCACTTAGCTACAGCCTGAAGAAATCAAGCAGCTCTGGGCTGTCGACATGCAGGGTCCTTCATTATGGAAGAATGGAGAACCTGCTATCTAGAAGTCTGTCACTTCCAGTTACATGTAACTAACCAGTTTGATTTTCCCACGTCAGCTTTTTAGTATATTGTTTTGGACTTGCACAGTGCTGTCAAAGAGGTAATTCCCAGCAGTTTGTAGTGCTCTATAAATTACTGATACATTTAGCCCAGTTTTACTGGGCTGTTGACAGGCATTGAAAACAGAAAGCTGCTCACAGCAAGAAATTTAAGAATTCTTCTGGATAAATGATTGTTTCCCTATATAATCAATAATAATGTGAGGCCCGGCAAGATCCAGGAAATTCTGGGCATGCTTTCTACTGTGAAAAAGAGAGTTGTTAATGTTTGAGACTACATGGACTTTGTTGAGATTGTGGTTGTGCATACTCTAGGATGACCTTCTTTTCTTCCATCTGTTTGACTAATGAAGTGTATCTAAGTATTTCCTGGACAGAATTATGGAATTACAGTAGAATGTATAATAGGAAAACTGATGGGTAAGTGGAAATAGCTGGTCTTGAGTCCAGAGCTTGATGAACAATATCAGCTCTGTGTGATCGTGGTTGAATTTGGTTTGCAAAACCTCCGTGAGAGCAAGGAAGAGATTTATAGAAAACTGTGCCCATAAAGGGATTACTTGCAGCAACGTCTGCTGTTGACTGGAGCATGTCATGGAGACCTTCCGGATGCCTGATTAGAATCTAGGAGAACCTTGTGAATAGTACAAATACTTTTGAGTACAGATTTAGATTTTGTTAGTACACAGCTAGTAAGTTTTTTAATAAAAGTTGTGGGGGGATTATATAGGTTTTGTGAAAGTTAAGAAATTTCCCATTCATTTGGAATGGAATGTGTGTGCATTTACTCCATATGTTGGCTAAGTGAACATAGGCCTCTATAGAGCACTATCTGAGATAGCACGTAAGTTCCATGTCATATAATGGGAGAAGGAATCTTCCCCAACGGGTCCAGGTCAGCACCCTGCAAAGGCTGAAAATCCTTAATCAGACTGTACAAAATTAACGTCTAGTAAAAAAAGAAAAATACTGAAATACATCCCCTTTCCACTTGAAATTCCTTTCATATTTCACTCAAATTTGACTAAGCTTGTAAGTGAATAACCTGAGACCTTGAACTTCAGATAATTTGTTCCATCCTCTTTGGATCTCACGTTACCTTCTCTGACTCTATTGCTTGATGAAGTCTCTAGGTTGCTCTGGGCATACGTATGAAGTTGTGTTTTATTCATATGTTAGTAGGAGCATGTATGGAAGGAAGAAATATTAGGGGTAAATCACTGCCAGGTGAAAGGAGCGTTGCTATTGCTATTCATTGTTCCTAGCTAGATAATTTATGACAAGCTGCAAAGTGCAGTGAGGAGGTCACATGTGTGAGGACAGTGTGCCACGGTAGTAAGCAGGCTGGCTGTTAATGTAGATACACTCTTCCTAAACTATGACAAACAGTACTAGAGCTGTTAAAAGAACCATCTGCATTCTTGTCAATGAGTTCTGCAAACACTAGACGGTTTTTCCCAGATTAGTTCACAGGCTCAGGAAAAGTTGTCTGTATAAAATGTAGTAATGCAGATTCACAAGTAGTATAGAAAGGAAACTAGCAACAATCCATGTAATTTCCTTGAGGATGACTTGAACTCATTCCAGATTCTCACCTTTTCAGGAGAAGGCTGCTCGTGTAGCACTGGTTGTGAGTCAGTTCAGCTGGAGCAAGGGCTCCCTCAGCAAGGGTTGGAGAAGATAATCCGAATCCTGTGCCTAGACAGTCCAGAGCAGAAGACCAAGACACAGTGACACTGTTGTTGACAGAGCAGCTTGCCTGGAGATGCTGGTGATACCCTTCCCTGAAAAGATAGTTGCCACTGAGACTTGATTCAGAGCAAAGAGCTTGTACGAAGAACAGTGTGATTTATTTTGGAAAGGCCTGTGTTAGTAAGGAAAGCGTTTATCTACCTAGGCAGTTGTTTGAGATCTTCCTTAACAGAAGGCTCGCTAAATAAGATGGCTCCATTTTGCTAAAAAGGCCATGTCTTGTATAATTGATGCAGAAGAACTCAGTGCTCTATAGCCTAAGGGTCCTCAACCTTTCACCACTGGAGAATTAGAGGAATGTTTCTCAGGCCTTTCAGGGAATGCAGTTAACAGGGAATTACCATAATGATCAAACATCTGGGATGCTAATTTGAAAGCCTTGATGTTTAATTAATATTCCAAACCCCTAATCACCAGATAATCTGTCTTTGTTCAACTCAACACAGTGATAAAAAGACCATTCCATCCCGTGCCTTTTTTCAACACATAGTGTTGACGGCTGCTGCTATTTGCAGTTGTGGTAGTTGTAGCAAATAGACAGGAAAGATGCTCAGATGTGTCTGAGAAGTTCTTTTATTAAAGAAAACGTTTGCTAAATGGATTTTAAGGTCTGGCAACTATTGACCTAAGCAAGCTGCGAGAAACACTCAGCTTGTTGGCAAAGATTTAAATATCATGTAAGATCCTTCATGATGCATTTCTTAGAACATAGAGAAATTGTAACACAACGATTTAATATTTTAAAAGGACAATGTTTATTCCTTATGCGTACAATGTCTATTCCTTCATGCTTATTTTGTTCTATAAAAATGTTCTAAAGATTTACTGATCAAAGTTGGTCAGTGTTTGGCAAGCTCAGGTACTCTTAACAGAATAAAAGGGTATGGATTATAATCATACTTACCATCTGTTCAGTAGACGTTGTTATAAATAAAGTTACAGGTATAAATAGGTCTCATTACCTTCACTTTAGAGTTGTGTGAAAAAAACCCAACACAGGCCCTCACCTCATGTCATGTTGGTAACACGAAGAAATGCAGGATACAGACCAAGGGTCCGGCTGTCCGTGGAATGGGCCATTACTGGAGCATGCTAACCTTGTTCACCATCAGGATAATACAACAGCAGTATTACTTTTTGTTCCCCTTTTATGCTTACCTAACTCTTCTGAAGAATTCACTGTTACAGGACCTGATCAAAGGTTGCGTTATTTCTATGGAAAGTGATCAGCGACAAACCTTGTCCTCAACACCTTTTGGCAGCGTACTGTATGGTGCATGGATGGCTGGGATGACTGGCCGCATTGGGATGGGATGAAAAATATCTGAGGCTGAATGAGGCTCTTGCACTGTCCTGTGCCTAATTTTGATGGTAAAAATATGAAAAAAATGACAAAAATACGAAAAAATGACAACTATTGCGTCTTTGGAGTAGAAATCGGCTTTTCCTCCCCCTCCTTTCCTTCCCACCCCACTCCCGTGGGCAGCAACTTTAAATAACAAATGTCTCTTCTGAAAGACCTCTGCAAGGTACCTGCAGGCCCCCTCAGGCACTTTCAGTCCTGCATACTTCCAGTCACAATAACTAGAGGGTTTGGTTCCGTTTTGTCTGAAAGATTTTCTCTGCAGAGTCACTAATAAGAAGAGAGTAACAGCTGCTGGAATGTGAAAATCTGAGAGTGATGATCTGATAGCATGTTAATGTGATTTAGCAGCCGCTAGGAAGGATGAGCGGCAGGACCACATGGGTGACAGTCACAGAAATCAGCTGACAGTTTGGCACATCACATCTACCCTAATGAACTGTTTTAATCTGTTGGAGAAAAATAAATTCGGGGGGCTAAAGGAGTCCCATCTCAGACCAGTGACAGGGATTTTAATTA